GATTTTTTTTTTTTTTTTAAATGACTCTCACTGACAGTGTCCATCTTTTTAGGAAACAGAAATGCTCCTTTTAGTGGTGTTATCAAAATGTCATTCATTCCATGCCCTGTGGCTTTGGGAGGGTCAAAGTCACTGCTTACTTTCTAGGGCTGTTGATGTCACTCCTTCTCCCCTTTCAGAATGCATTGAGGGGTCTTATTTGGCATTTAGGCTTTTTGAAAGATTTTGGGGGTGGGGATAGCTCTAGGGAGCATTAAGGTTTTATTCTCCTTTGCATTTTCTTGGCATCAAATCCCTCAGTCACATCGGGGTAACATAAGCTGGGAAAGTCCTTAAAGGTCACCTACTCTGCAGAGCCACTCTTGCTTTTGTGTGTCTAGTAACAGCTCCCCAGCATTCTGAGAGTACTTCCTGATCACTCTCAGGGGAGCTTAGCCTCTGGGGGTCTGGTCCCTGTGACTTAAAACGAACAGAGAATTTCTCTTGACCACTCTGATGGGCTTATGGATGAGCATATAGCCCCCAAGGCACGGTACAGGGCAGGCATGAGACCTTCATCTGATGTGACTGAGCGCATCCCTCTATTTTTCTGCAGTGGGGATGGAAACCTGAAGCTTGCTGTATACCCTACAGAGAGGGAAAAATCCCTACAAGAAGGGTAAACACAGAGGGAAGCAGGAGAAACCAGCTCCCAGGATGCTGCTTGATGTCCTGGATCGAGTGAACCCTGAAGCCATGGCTTTGCAGTTTCATGCATGAGCAACATTTTCTTTTTATCCCTTTAAACAAGTCAAAGTTGGGGTTTCCGACCCGAGAAAAGCATACTTTGACGTATGCTTTTCAAAATCCTTCTTTTACAAAGGAGAAGTGGAGGCCCAGTACAGGGGTGCACCGTGGGAGGTCACACAGAGAGGCTGCACTGGAGGTCAGTTCTCCTGGTGCCCTGGCAGCCTATCAGGCTGCTTGTCCTTCAGGTCTCAGTCCTCAGGCAGAACCTGTGAAGGCTGAGCATCGAAATGTGTCATTACAGTAAAGGCATAGGCTGAGCTGCCCCTCAGAGTGGCTGTAAGCATTTGGGGTGGTATGTAGGGAGGTCCCAGTTCTGAGGGTTTGCAGACCTTTTCTAGGAGGGATCAGAGACCCAACAACAAAGACTCATCACATGGTCAGCTCTGCTCAGCCCTGCCGAGGAGAGCCCCTTAGAGGTGAGATGCAGTTGCTTTCTCTCTCCACCAAAACAAAACTGTTTAGTCTGTAAACAAGTGCAATCCAGCCATTCAACCAACACTTAATATTTTATTAATTTCATCGAACAGTAAGAATCGAGGCCCTCCTAGGTGCCAATCATTGGTTTAGGGACACAGATTCAGCATTCTACAAGGCAGCCTCTGGGCTCATCCTTAGTGTGCTTACGCTTTGCCATGGCTGTGAAAATAATCAGAAACATAAAATCAGGGGCTATGAAAATACTATTATGCTGGGAAATTTCCGCTGTAACAAGAGTGTAGGGAGCAGGAGTGTAAGTTGCAGGCTCATTGCACCTGTGGCGTTGGAGGAAGCTCAGAGCTGGGACGTGCTCAGAGCTGCAGTCAGCCAGGCAAAGACACGTGGGGTGGGGACCGGTCACAGCAGTGAGAAGTTGGGCAGGGGAGGCAGGACTTCGAATTTCTGTGCCAATGTTTGGTGGAAGGCATCTTGGGAAAATTTCCTCCTCTATTGCCATTTTAAGGTCTGCTGTTCCTGCTCCAGAGCTTCCCAGAGCCCCCCTTATTCCCATGAATCTGTGAGTCAGTTATATAATCTGTTTTTCAACCCAGGATCCTCGTGTCCAAGCTTTCGGTCTGTTTCAGGCTAAGGTCTAGTTAGTGGCGGTTTTGTTTGCTTTTTTTTTTTTTTTTCACACCATAGCTAGGCTTGCTTTTTTTTTTTTTTAGAAAGGACGCAGGTTGTCCTTACCCTTCCTCAAAGCGCGGCTTCTCAGTTTCCCTTTACTGCCTATCAGCGAAAGTGGCTGCATTAAACTTTATTACCACTAGAGGGCAGGAGCACCAAGGCAAAGGGCTAAGCAGCGCCTGCAAATGAAGTCCGCAGGTGACGCCAAGACAGTCTGCCAGGGTTTGTGCTGGTGGGGGTCGTGTCACGTTCCAAGCCCCAGCTCCGTGTGTCTTGATTCAGATACACCAAGTCTACTTACTCTGATGATTTCATCCCGTACACTGCGATCACTATAGGTGCAAATGCTAGAAAAGAAGTCTGGTGGGGGAGGTTCCCATAAAGATGTGGGGTCTTGAATTGAAACGAACCTTTAAGGGTTTTTTCAAAATGTGCTTAGGATTCAGAAGCCCTTAGTCTTGGTTCCCAATGTGCTGTGTAACTTGCTTAAGAAACATAACCCCTCTGGGTCTATGAGAAGTCTCAACTGGGGAGCTGCCTCCTTAGATGCAGTTACTAATTTTGGGGTCTCTTTCATACACAGGGAGTTTTTCTTTCCTGACTCATGTGCATCTTTTCATTTCTGCAGATGAATATACTTCACACAAAGGAACAAAGAGCTAGGGGTGAAATTTTGGCAAGAGGTGAAAGAGGTACTCTTGGTTCTTTCCAATTGTACCTTGACAATCATGTCCTCTCTGTCTTTGGGGCTGAGGATCTGATATGGAGAGTGATGAAGGTCTGGGAGGTGCTAGTCTTTGCTGTTCAACTCTCCATTACTCCTGTATAAAAACTCCTGTATAAAAACCTCCTTTCTCTAGTAGCCCCAGTTCCCAGGAGTCACATTCCTGGGTACATATTAGTCCCTGGAATCCAGGTCCTATGAACCAGCTCCTGGGGCTGTGGGGCTGAGAACAGTGCAGACACAGGACCCTTCTGGGAGGGGAATGATCAGGAAGGCTCTTCCTGCCTTGTCATTCTAGAATGAGATTTATGCCCAGAGGATACTATCTCGAGTAGGCCAGGCCCTGCCAAATGGGGCAGCCCAAACTCACAGTTTTTTTTCCTAAAAGGTGCCATAGGACTGGGTCCCCAAGGGCTGGTGTCCTCATAGTCCTCTAGAGCTACAAATTGGGGAAAGATGGGTTGGGCGCTCCCTCCCCATACCCAGACACAAAACAATCATGAGCACTTGAAAAAAAAAACCAAACAAATCACAACAAGCAACAACAAAACTCCTGTATAAAAACCTCCTTTCTCTAGCAGCCCCAGTTCCCGGGAGTCACATTCCTGGGTACATATTAGTCCCAAAATACAGAGGGGAGGTGTCGGCAGAGGCTCTGCCAGGCCTTTGTGAGCGGCTCTCTTGCTCCCTGTGATCATTTTACGCATTCCACAACCCCTGATTGACAAGGAAAGGCTGTTTCCTGCTGCTGCTGCTGCTGCCATTCTAACTTAGCAAGATATTATAAATACCTTCAATCTCAATAAATAGAGATTAGCACTCACCCATCCCCCCATCCCCATCCCCCACCCTATCCCCCACCCCATCCCCCCATCCCTCATCCCCCCACCCCTCCATCCCCCCACCCCTCCATGCCCCACTCCAAGATCATTTTCGAGGAAGTTTACTTTTTGCACTGTAGATTTTAATGACTGCAGAGTGTTCAGTTATAGCTGTCTCTGGTCTTCTTTGCCAAAGCTGTCCCACCTGTAGGTGGCCTCTTTTGATCATGTCAAGTGGGAGATCTCAGGATCTTCTGGGGTCCCTTCTCCAGAGGGTTCATTTGGCAGGGGTGGGAGATGATGGCTTGGAGCGAATGTCAGACTAGCCTGAGAATCCAGATTTTCTGATTTCCCACTCCCTTTCTACTCAGGCAAGCTTATGGAGTGTAGTCATGAAGAGAAGACTAAGGGTCTTCACACTCCTATTCACTAGGCAATTTACAGATTATTAAGAAAAATGTCCCCCTCATACATGGGTCTGTATTCTCTTTTATGCTTCTCTGAATAAGTGTCCAAAATACGGTTGTCCTCTGGTTGCTTATTGGACATATTTTGGTCTGATCTTTCTTTCCATGTCTCAAAGTGGCATCTTAAACACCTCTATAATGTCTTCCCATCTGGTTCCACCTCTGCATCCCCCCAGGACTGAATTTCCCAAGGGCGATTGCCACACACAGGCAGCAACCCAGTCATAAGATGGCTAAATTTAAACTGTGCAGTCTGCAAATAAGCCTCCGTGATCATCTGCTCCTTTGTTTGGCTTATTATCCTCCCAGATCAAACTCTAGAGGAGGCCAGAGAATCGCCCCTGCTGGGCAGGACTGTCGGGTGTTTGTGTCCGGCAGGAAAAAAATCCAAACAAACCCAAGTGCCGCAGTCCTTCATTCTGTCCCCCAGTGCAGCAGGGCCTGCTTTTCAAATGAAGGGGATGATCCCCAGGCTTTGATTTCCAAAGCAAATCACTGCGAATCTCATCAGTATGGCAACAGATGCAACAGTCTGGCTGACTGGCTGCCGGGGACTTGGAAGCAGGGACAGAGAGGAACTGGCACTAGAGTGTGTCTCATCTCTGCTCTCTCTGCCTCCCTCACGGGAGGATGGGGAATGGAGATAATGAGGTGGGCAGGGGATCCTGGGCTCTGGCTGTACAGGCAGCCTGGAATGGAGACATGGAGACAGAACCCCAGAGGCCCACGTTCTTAGTGGCTCTTAGTGGGACTTCTGCTCCATTCGTGACGTCCGATGTGTCTGCAGGTTTGTGGGTGTTAATCAGCTGGCTGCATCTTCACCTTCTGTCTGTAGGATCTCTTAGCATGTAGGATGGAGTGGGGTCTCCAGGGAGCAACAGGCTTAGCAGAGGCCCAAAGCTGCCATGTTGAAGTGGCCACAGTATTTGAGGCCTCAAGGAGGACTGGATCTTCCAGAGACTAGGAGGTCCACTTTGAACGTTGGAAATGGGGCAAGGAAAAGGAAAGAAACTGTGGTTGGAAAGAACCTGGGATTCGACCTCTATCATGAAAGGACACTGATGTCCATTGCTCATCCAGAAGGTGGGTCTTCAAGCTTTATTCCAAGTGAACCCTGTACACACTTATGTCCCGGCCTTTTCTTCCTTGCTTTGGCAGGGACACCATTCTTCCTTCCCTTCCTTCCCCTGTTCTCCCTTCTGTTTCTTTTGAGGTTCCTCTTTCTCTGCCATTAAGTATTATAGTCCCTCAAGACTCAGTCCAGGCCCACTTCTTTTCCCACTCTGAATTCTCTCCCTAGGTGAGCTCATCCAAGCCCATGACTTCAATTCCTTCCCACCTGTACACACTTCATGCTTTACCCCAGAGCCACACGTGTTCCCTTGCTCCAATGGCCTAGTGACATCTCCACTCACATGTCCTAGTGCAACATGATGAAAAGTGAGCCCAGAGTCTCCTAACTCTACACTACCTTCCAGGTCTCTTCTGATATTTCTTATCTCATTGGACACCACTATTCAGTTAAGTAAGGCAGAAACACCACCCTGAGTGAATCCTTCTTCCTCTCTCCATATGCAGTGGAGATGCACCAAGATCTTAGGCATCAGTGTTTTTGGATCTGTCCGCTTTGTCCGTTCATGACCATCAATCCAGGTCAAGATACTGTCATCTCTTGCTTGGACTACAAATGGGCCCAAAGCCCTAATTCTTTCCCTTGAATTGATTCCAGCTCCCAAGTAATCAAAGCAGGTCTTTATCCAAAGGCTGGCTGAATCATTCATCCCCTGCCCCTCGCCTGTGCCTCCATCCTCTCTGATGTTTGTCTCTATTGTGATACCCGAGGACAGTTAAAATCCCAAGATTCATATGGTGCTCCCATTTCCAGAGCCCCTTTGTTCACATTATTATCTCATTCCCTTCTTAAGTGGCCACGATCATCATGAGTCACAATCATTCCTTTTAAAGGATCATATCTGTCTTCCTTGGAAACAGTCTCAGAGAGGCAAATTAGCTCTTCCGGGGCCGTCCACCTGGGGAGTAAGAGAGCCTGGGTCTTCTGACTCCTTAAGTTAACCTCGTTTGTTCCTCACTTGTCAGAAGAGGGCTTTGGATGAGACAGAGGTGCCTTAAGAACCGTTCTCTCTCTAACAGTCTGTGGTTCTATGGTTTGCAGGGTCCAAGAGGAGGTTGCAAAAACATCTCAAAGGGAACACTCCAGGTGAGATTGAAAGAATAGTTTCCAAGTAAAGTTTGTTTTTCCCCAGGGTGAGCTTCACATCTGAAATGCAGAGGCAATAGTAGATTCTCTCTCTCCTGTGGATTCTTCTTCCTTGGTGGCTCCATGACTGTCACTAGAGGTTGGGTCGGGTTACCAGAGAAGGACTGCAAGGTTTTCATCTTGCTTGGGAAAAGATTGAACACGGAAGGAATGAAAACCTCAGTGGTTTGTCAAAGAGGGAAGTGAAAAGCGAAACCATCCATTCTGAACCCACCCTTGGGGGTAGCCTTGGGACTGGAGAATTTAAAGGAAGGAAAGACCTGTGAGTGCAGGTACCCAAATACGATCCATGCCATTTGCATTTGAGAACACATCAGAATTTTCTGTATCTGGTGTAGATTGCTGTGTCTTCTCTTAGTGTGTATGGATTAAAAGGGTGTTTTTTTTTTTTTTTTTTTGCTGCAAAAGATTGCACCTGTGCCGAATGGAACGGAAGAATTCCCTTTGAGGGAATGTTGTTTTCCTGTGGACTTTTTATAAGGCTGGAAACAAGAAGACAGATTATTTCCTTTTTATGGGCGTGAATATGACAACTGATGAATCTATGGACCAGGTGAAGCAGGGATGGTCAATAAAGCTTATTTCTCATGATATCCATTTGCATGTTGGTGACTGACTTGAACACTGGTAGGAGCAGGATTTTAATGCCAAATGTGGTTTTGATGGGAAACTGTGTGACAATCAATTAGTGATGACTGCCATGACGGAAGAACAACGCAGCCGGAGTGCAGGAACTCACCTGGAACAGCGCTACTCAAAGTGAGGTCTGCCGATGCGTCTGGGTCTGCATTATTTGTTACTCAAATACGGCCACCAAAAAAGAATACGCATTTAGAAACTTCTATAGCAATTTCATATTGCTGCCACACTCGATTGTATAATTTCTATATTTTATAGAGTCTTGATCTGTGATGGGTCAAAAATAAAAATGAACTTTGGCTTTTTACTGTAGGTAGTTTGAGAAGCACTACTATAGGTCTCATGAGTTCCTGTGAAAGACTTTAAATGCTCTGGACTTGGGGAGCAAGAACAGAACTGAAGACATACACACAGAAGCATCCACGTGGAGTCATTACCTGAGTGTGGGTGTCTGTCAGTTTTCTTCCTCTTGTTGGAAGAAGAATTAAGACAATAACTACTCAGAGATTGCCAGAAATGCCTTCCTGGCCTCTACCCACTTCTACTTTCCAACTGTTCCATTAAAGCCTTTACTAACATTGATTTCTCCCAGTACCTGTCAGTGAGGCCAGTAAAGAGGTCATATCATTGAAGGCACTGAAGGATGGTCAGAGAGACATTCAGCATTAGCTGTTGAGTCAGTCTGGGTGACCTTTGGGATCATGCATTGATTCACCCATTTGTTCACCCATTCATGCATCCCCACACGTTCATTCTGTGACTCAGAGGCTCTTTGTGGAATGCTAACTGTGTGTGTCTCAGTGCCAGGCACTGGGGGTATGAAGATGACTAAGGGAGGCAGGTTCTCTGCCCTCATGAAACCAACACTCTGAGAGGGAGACAGATACTAAGTTAATAATGTGTATACATTATAAATAGTTATATGTATATAAGTAGTTATATGAATCCTGGTATGTGCTCCAAAGGAAAAGCATTTATTCTCCAAAAATCATTACCAAGAGCCATAACCTCTCCAGGGCATGGTGGAGGGGGCTCTGAGAAAGAGATATGTCTGCACCAATGTGAGTGACCAAAGAAAAGGGAGGTGACTTGAGATGATCCTGTAGAAGCAGTCAAGAGACTTGTCTTTGTCTGTTTTCTGTTGCTATTATAAAATACGTGAGGCTGGGTATTTAATAAAGAAAATAAATTTATTTACTTCATATTTTTGGAGGCTAAAAATCCAAGATGGGGTGGTCCTGTCTTTGGGCCTCTGGTGAGGGCCTTCTGGCGGCATCACAATTTGAAAGCTGGCATCAGGGTAGAAGCATGTACAAGAGGGAGAGCCATTACATGGTGAGATAGGAAGCCAGAGAGATTCAGGGGTCAGGCTTGCTTTTTTTTTTTTTTTGGTAAGAACCCATTCAGGTGGGTATCAACTCAGGCCCTGAGAGAGTTACATCAGTCCTTTCTGAGGGCATGTCCCCAATGACATGATGACCTACCACCAAACCCTGCCTCTTCTTTTAAAAAATAATTTCGTATAACTTTAATATGGAGTTAAAATAATGCTACTGGACTTACTCCTGAGGAGAACTTTGGGTAACCAATGTTGTACATCTTCTCGAGGCCCCACCTTTTGAAGGTCTCACCACCTCAGTGCAGCCTCCCTGAGGACCAAGCTTCCTGCCCATCGACCTTCAGGGGACATCCTCAAAACTCCTCCACACTGTAGCAGGACTGATGGTGCCAAGCCTTGCAGGCTGCAGAAGAAGTTTGTACTTGGCCCTTGGAGCAGTGGGGAGCCTGGTGGAGTTTCAGACAGGGTTAAGCCAAGGTCCCTGCTTTTGAGAGGCTATCAACGTGCTGAGGAGGAAAAGGTACCTCAGCAGCCAGCTGTGGTTTAATGTGGTCCAAGTGACATGGAGATGGGAAATGATGGGTGGCCATTGGGACCGTGCATTGATTCACCCATTTGTTCACCCATTCGTGCATCCCCACACGTTCATTCTGAAATGATTTAACCAATGAAACATCACCCTCTCCATCTTCTGTTCTCAACACATTGTAGCTGCCTGGTCTAAGGATACAGATAGAATCTATTTCCAAGGCCCCCAGGATGAGCTTGCTGCCTGTCTCTCCAGATGCTTCCATGGTGCACTCTTGCTCTCTCGGCTCCCGTGTCCCGAATGATCTTTCTTGAGGTCTCCAGAGACCACCGACTTCCTCCCTGGCGTGTGGCCTCTGTGCATGCTGTGATTTTGTTTGAAGGCTCTTCCTCGGACACTGCCTTGTTCCTGTCTGCCTTGCTGATTCTTTATTTTTTTTTTTTTAAGTCTCAGTTTAAACATCCCGAGCTCTCAAGAGGACCCCACACTTCTCCCTCTTCATACTTAGAACAAGTGGAATTATTTCTTTGTGTGACTAGTTGTTGAATGTCTATTTCTTCCAGTGAAGGCAGGACTCCATTAAGTATCGAATGGATGAAGAAATGGAGGGAGGAAACCATGAGAAGACGGCTGGCCTGGCCGGGTGCCTGCCGCGAGGGCCTGAGGATGTGGGGTGTGGAGCTGGGGCCAAGCGTGGAGGACTGGGCTTCACCAGCCCCAGAACACAGCCATTCCCTCTCCATTGGCTTTCTTCTCTCCCCAGTGAGTGGGAAACGAGCCACACGTGATGGAACTCTGAAAGACCATTTTCAGGGGATTATCAATGCCAGTCCTTAGCTCTTTAGGGCGAGCAGACATCCCAGGTTGATAAACTGCACTTAGTCATATCTCTGTACATTATAAGAAAATCCTTCAACCTGAAAAATTGCTCAGAGCTAAAGAGATTTTGGAAAATGTTACACCGTGGGGGTGCTGGGCACACTGGAAGCTGGTGGCTGGGACAGCAGTCAGGGTCCCCTGCGTTCTCCTCTGTCTTAGATGGATCAGGCCTTTCTGGCCTTAAGATTTCACTCAGGAGCCAGGAGGGCCAGGATTTGTCAATAGTAGTATTAGTCATCGTGGCTGTACAACAACTTACTCCAAAATTCAATGGTTTAATACAGCGACTGTCATTTAGTATCACATGGTTTCTTCAGGTCAGAAATCGAGAGCGTGGGGAGAGGGGCATCACCTGCTCTCTGCTCCATGATGTCTTGAGTCCCGAGTGGGGTGGCTTGAAGCCTGGGTGCTGGAAACATCTAAAAGTCATTGACACACATGGATCTGGCAGTTGATGCTGGGTCTCTGGTCTGGACCACCCAAGTGTGTCTTCTCCATGTGTCTGAGGTTGTGCTCAACATGGTGGCTGGATTCCAAGGGAAAGTATGGAGAGAGAGAGAGAGAGAGAGAGAGAGAGAGAGAGAGAGAGAGGCGGGTGGGGAGGGGAGAAAGAGGAGAAGAGAGGAGAGGAGAGGGAGGAGGAGAGAGTGCACACTAGGTTCAAGAGAGAGGGAGAGGGAGGAGGAGAGAGTGCACACTAGGTTCAAGAGAGAGAGAACCAGGTGAAAGAGGGAACTCACACAGTATCACCTTTGTCCCATTTTGTTGTTGCTGTTGTTGTTGGAAGGGGATCACTAAATCTTCTCCACATTCAAGGGAAAGGAAATCAGACCCCACCGTTCACATGATATTTTAAGACCAGCAATCCCCTTACATGAAGGTGCAAAGATGGCCCTGGAATAGAGATGTACACTCAAATTTGAAAGAATGGGGTCATAATAAAAAGGTCACTGTTGAGATCTTATAGGAGCCTACCTTGGGCAGTGTTTTAGCAGGTGTCCCTAGTTCTTCTCTTTTTACACAGAGATGCACTGGCTTCTGAGAACATCTCCACCCTTGAATTAATGTAGGAAAATGTGTGTGTGTGTGTATGTGTTTGTGTGTGTGTGTCCTCTTCCTGCCACCCATAGTTTACCTGAGACACTGTGGTCATTGTCTTGGAACACTGGGAAGATTTTCAAAGTTCCATTTGTATCGCCTTAGAGCTGTCCCAAGGAGAAAATAAATAAGTAAGCCAGACTGATAGTAAGGAGTTATATTTAAGAGAAGGTTCCTTGACTGAACTAGTTTAAATGTTAATTTTATTACTCAAGGGGGCACTTTGGGACTCCCTGTCATTATGGGACAATTAAACTGTAGTTCCTTATTAATTTTTACTGCCTTCCTCACGTAATTAGTGGGACATAATGTGAATTGCATCCCAATAACGAATAGATTTTTGAATGTGAGTGGGCAGAGCCTTTTATTTGCCTATCCAACAAGACAAGGTCTATGAGAAGAGGGTGGGTCCTTCCAGAAGAGAGGGTCTCCACACCCTCCCGAGCCTAGGGACCCCGACAATACCCTGAATAAAACAAACAAAACACAGAGGCACTACACTTCCCAAAGGCAGGAAGCTTCTGCCTTCACCCTTTACCATGAAGTTGGCAGTCAGAAAGGGGAATTCTTTTTTTTTTTTTTTTTTAAGATTTAGAAAGCAAAACAAAGAAAATCAAAACAAAAACACAAAAACCAAAACAGGACATTAAGATTCCTGAAGACCTAGAGGCAGGCAATCGCTGAGGATTCGTCTTCTGTCTAAATTGGCATTTATGAAGCAAGTACCTAGTATATGACTGGCACCTCACTAGTATCTTATTTAATTGTCAGAATTACTTCATGAGCTCAGGATAATTATCTCCACCATAGAGATGAAGAAAACTTGTCTCAGACTAAAAGACATAAGATCATATTGTAAGTGACAGCTCATGGCCCTAAACCCAGGTCCAGCCCAGTCCAGAGCCTGAGTCCTCAGAGGCTATGCCATACTGCCTCGTGGTCAGGCCGAATCTTTCTTCAATCCTCAGTTGCTCTGAGTTTGTTTTTGCTCCTTTCTTGTTTATGAACTCCTTACCCCACACCACAGCACCTGGGTGTTCTAGACCCTTTCCTCCCCACCCTCCTCCTCTCTTCTCCTCTTGGACCCTACCCACAACTTCATGCTCCCC